CCTCTTGATCTCTCTCATATCAGTGTCAACCTGCAAAGTAACTCGCATGGTATTAAGTTTGGTGACGAATAAGTAGAGTAATCTTTTGTGTAAATGTTTAAAAATGAGGTCTAACGAATAGTCGTTGGATAATAAAATAGTTACCGCTTTAGACAAGTTGTCCTGATGATGCTTAGGATGTGAAAATAAAATTGCTCTGTCGAAAATATTGTAAATAATGCCAATTTTTTGTTGGAAGGGATGGCAAGAGGAGAAGCTGAGATACCTACCTAAGAAGGTAGGTTTTTGGTACCAATTCAGAAAAAGAATTTGTTTTCATCTACAGTAATAGAGGTATCAAGGAAATTAATCGTTCTATTAGATTCTAATTCAATAGTAAATTTCAACCTCGGGTGGTAAGCATTGAAAATATTAAAGATTAAGTCAACTTTCTGTCTAGGGGCTGCCATTAAAATATCATCAACGTACCTGTAATAAAACGGTAACGTGATGCCCAATTCATTAGAGACAAATGTGCCTCCAGGTCTTGTAAGACTATGTCTGCTATTATTGGGGAAAGGGGAGAGCCCATAGGAGTTCCAAACGTTTGTTGATAGGTAGTATTATTAAAGTTGAAAAAGGTGGAAAAGAGGACAAATTTCAAAGCAGTGATAAATGGTTCAAGTGGAATAGAAGTATTATCACTTATATGATCCCATCTTTTTTTCATGCCAGCCAACGCTAAGTCCAACGGGACATTGGTGAAGAGCGAAGTCACATCCAAAGACAAAAGAAAATCTTGCTCCTCCAATTCCAAGCCAGATAGAACTCCGAATAGTTCGAAACTATTTTTAACAAAACTAGGTGGTTTAGATAGATTTTTTAGTAAGATATTATGTAAAAAAGTAGCAAATTTATAAAGAGTAGTGTTCACGCAAGAAACAATGATCCTATAAGGAATTCCAGACTTATGTATTTTTGGAAGACCATAGGCCCGAGGTAGAAGCTTATCATTTGATAGGAGGAAATAATATTCCTTTGCGCTCAGATAGTTAGCTTTTAGTACGCATGGCATCGTTATTTGTTATATCTATTTTCGCTGTTGTTTACGCTGACTCACTTTGACGGTTGCAGATTTGACCTTGTCAATTTAAGTGCGTACATGTTTCATTTTTATTTTATTTATTTATTTGTATTCCCGTATCTTTCTGTTATAACGTTATTACTACTTTTTTGTAAAATTATTTTTATATACAGTTACTGAAGATGATCAGAAATATATTGATCGAAACGTCTACACATCACACATAAATTAGTGTTTTCATTCCGTCACCACCTAATGCTCATTTGGTTGATTCGTTTATTTTATCTTATTTATTGAGCTATACCCAAGCAACCACCTGACGTTGTAATGACGTAAATATACGTGATTTTTGTCACTAATTGGTGATTATGACCTAAATCTGACGTTATTTTGAACGTCATAACAATGACGTCAGTATATACGTCACACATTTACGTCATATATGATGTAACTATTGGTCTTTGGAGTAACGTCAGTTGAAATAAGTGAGTAAGACGTCATAATGACGTTATTTAAATAACACGGTAGTTAAAAATTTGTTTTTGAGTATATATTTATGTATTATATGTAAGATCCCACATAACACGTAATATT